TTACATAGACGACTTATTTTTTATTTGGCAAGGCTCGGAAACTTCACTTAAGCTGTTTTTAGACTTTTTAAATGTCAATGATAGAGGCATAGTTTTATCTTCAGATTTTAGCAATACGTCAGTTAATTTTTTAGATTTAAATATTTTTATTAAAGACGGACGTATCCAAACTAAGACCTTCTTTAAAGAAGTTTGCACTAATACGATTATCGACCAAACTAGTTGTCATCATAGACCGTGGTTGGATGGTATTCCAAAAAGCCAATTTCTCCGTCTTCATCGAAATTGTTCCTTAACAGCTGATTTTAATGCTCAATCCACCTCATTGAAAAATATGTTTTTAGACAAAAATTATGAGGCAGATAAGTTAAATACAGCCTTAGAGACAGTTAAAGCGAAAGAAAGAAAGGAGCTTCTCGCATATAAAGCGAAAAAAGGAGACCCCCCCCAATTACCTATCATCTTGGATTTTAACAATAAAAATAAAACCTTAAAGAAAATTCTAAATAAACATTGGCATATCCTTAAACAAGATGACCTTTTAAAAGACCACATCCCAGAGAGACCTAATGTCGTGTTTAGAGGGGCCCCTAATTTCAGAACCATCCTCACAAAAAACTATACAAGAGAAAATGTACAACAAAATAAAACTTTTCTATCTAGACCTAAAGGTTGTTTTAAGTGTAATAAATGTATTGTGTGCAGAACCACTAAAGGAATTACAAATTCTAAAACCATCCAGTTTGCCTCTAATATTATTAAAACCTCCTACACAATTAAAGAATATATAGGCTGTAATACCAAAAATGTGATATACTTATTGGAATGCCCATGTAGACTCCAATATGTGGGCATGACTAAGAGATGCCTTAAAGTGAGATTGGCAGAACATTGCCGTAACATTAGGAGAGGTTATGAGAATCATTCAGTTTCCAAGCATTTTTTAATACATAACAAAGACCCGACACTTTTAAAAGTAACTGGTATAGAACAAGTTACTCTCCCATGGAGAGGTGGAGACATGATAAAAACTTTAGGCAAAAGGGAAATGTACTGGGTCTTTACACTTAATACTCTTTTTCCTGAGGGTTTAAATGCTGAATTTGACCTTTTTAACTTCTTATAATATATCACACATTTTATCCTCCATTTATTTATTTCATTTTTCTCCCTTTTCCCTTTTTTTTTTTTACTACTATATATATAGAGTTTTAAGATTAGGGCGCATTTGACCTCTTTTTTGCCCCTTTATTTATCTATCATATACTTTCTTAGTTATTATTATATTATTGATCCCCCCCTTTTTTATCTCCTTTTTCTTCTTATTACATTATTATTTTTTTATCTTATCTTTAGCCCAAGTGCATAGGGGCTATCTGTTACTATAAGGTCAATAATTTATGCCTAGCTATTTAGCTTCTGAATTCACCTTTTAGCTCTTTTATTATTATTATTTTTCTTCCCCTTTTTTTCTTACTTTTTTCCTTTCTTTTTATTTAACATCTTCATATTTGCTTTAAAATTGGCTGTCATGCCACTTATTTTTGTGGTATTAAAAGGTTCATTATGATCGGCATTAGGCGCCGCCCCATTTGCTGATGTCAGACGGAGGCGTGCCCTTTGTTGCCGGCCTCCGTCTGAACACCACATACCCCACGAGCACTTGCGGTATATACCGCCCCCACTACTGACGTCAGACGGAGGTGTGCCGCAGGTTGCCGACCTCCGTCTGAGCTTCTACACTCTATATCGATATGTGCAGTTAGCCACGTGACCGCGGAGGTCCGCGATCACGTGACTATACATTTTTGCTCCCTCCTTTGTAACTACATTTCCCACATTGCTTTAGTGCTCACCATGTGATCGCATTAGATTGCGATCACATGATTTCTCATCTCTTTTTACTTTATCGTTTATTTTAATAAATAACACTCGTTTTTTTAATAAATATCATGGATTATTTTATATATTGTATTATAAATATTATGCATTTTGTATTTTTATGTTTTTATTGATTTTGCTTTTTACACATTGTATTGATGACGTCATTTTGGCGCCAAAATTTGAACAAGCATGTTTTATCAAAGTTTATATAAGTATCTATGTACCAGGCTGATTTTTACTATTGCCAGTTGATAAAGCCCTGTGTGGCGAAACGCGTTTTGGCTATTTTATATATTTTTTATTGTACTAATAAAGGAATAGTGGCTTCTTTACAGCAATTTTGCCATATACCTTTTTATTTCATTTTTAAAACTTCCTGTCACCTGGTCATTCACTAACTTGGAGTCTACTCACGACCAAGAATCCTCGGTGGGGATTGTACCACCTATGCGAATATACTGAGCAGTCTATCCTGCTCATTCGAATGTGAGTATTTTTATTCTTTTATTTTATTTTATTTCATTTATATTCAGTGAGCACTATATTCTGCTTTTATCTCCTTTCTATAACCGAGGAATTACCTTCACCTATATCCTACCAGTGGGGGATAAACGCCACTGAACGCCCAACATACTAGAGCGAGTCTATGCTCTAAGATAGGTGAGTGTATTACCTACCTATTATTATTATTTTTTACAACAGACAGTCTACACTATTGGATCGTCTTTGTTGTTTATATTTTCCATGTTCACCTCCGAATCAAGACTCTTCTAAAGACTAGAAGATCCAGTCTCTTATTGGACTCTCTACCCCCAAATACTTACCGGAACCTGAAAGAGAAATATACCAAGTATTGTTACTATTATTCACTCATTTGAACTTATCAAAAGTATATCAAGAATTTGGACTATCATTCTTTTTATATATATCTTTTATATATTTATTAAATCCTTTTTTTATATATTTCTCCTTATTTATGTTTTAAAGTGTTTGACACAGTTATCCCTTTCCATTTGTTATTTATGTAGCGCAACCTATTATTCCTGTTTTTGCCATTTCTCTTTTGAGGACTTCAGAAGGAACCTCATATCTATAGGTTGCAGCTCTCTACTTGACCATATCACGCAGCGCTGATCCGTTCTCTACTAGTAACAGTATTTGTTTATGCCACAACAAACATGAATTTCCAGTTTCCCGGCACTATAAGCGACCACCGATGTTGTAAGCCAAGGAGAAATCCAGCATTTAGCCCAGATGTCCCAATTAAAAAATTTACTGGTCCGAGCTGGGGATAACAGCTCTTCGATCCTTTGTTGATCACAACGCACAAAAAAAATTTACGCTGGCGGAACTCAGGGAACGCTTCCCAGGTCTTTCAGTCCCATGGTTCGCTTACTTTCAGGTGCAATCTCAACACTTTATATGCTAATACGGTACACTCCAGTTTGGAATAATCTGCAGACTAAAATGGAAGTCTCATTTTCCAAATTTATGTCCAGCTGACATACTTTTTGCACATCATACTCAGTGTCAGTCATTACCTATGGTCACATGTAGGGACATGTTTCTCTTTACACTACGCTTACTATTCCCCCCCCCCCATAGACTTCACCTCATGACTAGGAAGGACTCCGCAGCCTATTTCAAATGCACACACACTAAATCCGACCTGTATCACTGTCTGTCGGAGTGTACGCTCTTTTGGACTGAGGTGAAGGGGTACCTGGCCAATGGGAACATGCCAACTTTGCCACTCTCCCCCGACTTCCTGATTTTGGGATCCGTACCAGGTAAACCTCTGACTAACATATGATTCCTTCTCATTGTAGCAGCTGTTGGACGCAAAGCCATCCTCAAGGTCTGGAACCAGCCAGGTGCTCCCACCTTACAATTGAAATTTTTTTTATTTTATTTTTATTCTTTATTTTTGTTCACTCGGCATGTTAAAAAGTAATACACATTGGGTGGGCAGTCACCCATGACATCACATACATTGGTCAAGATATGATATTTGCCTCACGCATGGCAACATGAAGAGTGATATATTTTTTTTTTTGGAAATAAAGTGATCAACAGAAGTTTTACAACGATGAAAGCCCCCTCAGGCGCAACAAGATACTTCGTAGAGTTCTACTCATTTGTAAGCCCTGTGGGCCGGGGGGGGCACCATCCCCAGGGGTGGACTGCAATAGGTTATCCCAGGTCTATTATGGGTGTTAGTTGGGGTGGGGAGAGGAGAAAATTGGAACTAACATTAATCAACAGGTGACCGCTAGAAATGTGGGTCTATACGCTTAAGCGTGAGTTATAATCGCGGAGCGTGTAGCAGTGTGCGGGGGTGTGCGTCTACCCTCACTGACTCAATAGGTATGCATATACTGCTGGAGTAGTAGTTATAAAAAGCATTAACCAAAAAGCAAAATACCATTAGTAATGTGGTGTGTATAGTCACAAAACATTATAGTGGCGGAATGTATGGCATCCTGGGGGATGTGTAAGCGTCTGATCAGAGTGTGTCCCTCAGGTTGTGTCACCCGTTGGTTGCGTGCATCGGGACGATCTTGGTATAAACTCTGTTGCTGTGGAGGAGTCCAGTCGGGATCTAGTAGCAGCTGTCTCCAGTAGTGCAGCCTGCAGAACCAGACGGTTTAAGTGGGAGTCTAGCTCCTGGGAGCTCTTATCCCAGTAGGTAGACCCATGGAAGGTAAAGGTGATGAGACGTGGCACTCCCCAGCAGTATGGGAGATTTTTGGAGCGCAGGTGTTGTAGACTTGTTTGGAGGGATTTTCGCCAGCTGAGTGTGCTCCTCGTGAGATCAGGAAACAATGAAATGTGTGAGTCCTCGAATGGTAGAGGGGTTCTCCCTCTGGCCGCCATCAGCAGGGTGGCCTTGTCCTGGAGAGATTGGAATCGTACAATGAGGTCTGCTGTCGCGGTTGGGGGTGCTTTTGCTGGCTTGGGCAATTAGAACATTCCATCTATTTTCACAGCTTTTGCTTGTTTAGGTTGTAGCAGTGTCTCTAGTAAGCGACGTATGTAATGTGGGAGATCAGCCTGTCCTATGGCATCAGACACCCCTCTCTACCTTACAATTATTTTTATCTAAACTTCAGTTTTTAGTCAAAATGGATTGGCTAACAACCTTAACCAATAAGGAACTCCTTGCCAAAAAAATTCCCCATGTGTTGGGGACCATACATCCTTAATTTGGATGATTCTTTTAGATCAAAGGTGTGAGAGACACCCTGGAGTACACGGCGTGGTTCTCGGTGGAGGTTGTGGCGAGTCGTGACCCCTTGCAGTAACCGTCCAGTATTTTCAAATCCAGATACATCCATGACTCGAGTGCGATGGTTGTGGGGTGATGTGATATGCCAGCATTTAGTTTTGTTTAAAGGGACACTATAATCACCAGAACAACTACATCTTATTGCATTTGTTCTGGTGAGTAGAATCATTCACTTCCAGCTTTTTGCAGTAAACACTGTCTTTTCAGAGAAAATGCAGTGTTTACATTACAGCCTAGTGATAACTTCACTGGCTACTCCTTAGCCGGCTGCTAGAGGTGCTTCCATAAACAGTCTTGCCTAGTATGCATCATAACAATCAGTGTGTCCACCCTCTGCATGCAGAAACTGAACTTTCCTCATAGAGCTGCATTGATTCAATTAATCTCTATGAGGAGATGCTGATTGGCCAGGATTGTGTTTGACTTGTGCTGGCTGTGCCCCTGATCTGCTTCCTTGACAGTCTCAGCTAATTATATGGGGAAGCACTGTGATTTGCTCAGACCATCACTTCTTATGATGTCAGCAGGCAGTTTCACAGGCAAACAGGGGCAGAGGTAGCAGCTGCAGGCTTGAATACAAGTAAGATGTTGCTATATTTAGAGAGGCAAGACGGGGCCAGGGGGGATAGATGGTGGTTTTAGAACTATAGGGTCAGAAATATGTTTGTGTTCCTGACCCTATAGTGTTCCTTTAAGTTTAATTAGCTTTGCCTTGTCAGGTCATCCAGTTCCTTAAGCTTAGTGTGGTTTCATGCAATTACTGGATCTTTCCATCCGTCCATGGGTTGTCTGCCCTACATCTACTCAGATCTCTGGGACTACGGGAACTCCCCACTGCCATATACCTTTGCACCTCTAGCAACCCACCGGTGTCCCCTTTATCACAAGATTTGTAGCCACAAGTTATGTAACTATTATACGGCTTATGTACTGTATCACGTGCCAATGGTTCTACTTGCTTCATGTGAACACCATGGGGTATACTATGGCCAAGCAGGCAGCATTACACAATGGATGTTGCCCCATATTAACAACCAGCTACCTTGAGGAAGTACACTCTTCTCTTCCTCAATTCCCAGGGGAACCTTTTTCACCCCCCCTCCCCCCAACATTATATCCTTTTCTAATAATTCATCCAGATAGGATGTGCCTCCCCTTTCTAAAACCTAGTGATCTGCCGCGTGGAAATTCATTGGGAAACTGTAGTGACCACACAGACTGTGACTTACTAACACTATAATAGGACTGGACATTTGAGTTACGTTTTTCTTTATTTCGTTTTCACGTTGTTTCTTATTGGAAAAGTGAATGTTAGATATGCCAACTGCATTATCACCATTGTTATTATAATTGTATTGTTTTCTATGATTGATGCTTACATGTATGCCATGTATTTTGCATTCAAATAAAAATTGTATTTGAAAACAAAATAAAAGATATAGGGAGCTGAGTATTAAATACGATTTTCTGAACACTTGTTTGTTTATGCTAACGTTTACGGCTCATGAAAGGCATAGTGGTGTTCTTATATTTATGCTGAATTGTGACACCCGCAAAAACATAAATATTAAATAAAAACTTACAATACTGTAAAAAAAATAAAAAAAATAAAAATGTTACTGAGGACATCAGTTGTCCCTTCCTGATGTGCGCTGAGCATGTCTGAGGTCTGTACTAAGAAAGGGCATATTTTACCGATTCCTCTAGCTACTCGCTAGCTTAAAATTTGGAACTGAAATAATTAGAGACAAATAGAACACAGTTCTCTAACACACATATCAAAGAACAATTTGTTATGGAAAAATTATCCCTTCAGGAAAAATGTCTGTCAGTAGTTCTTTTAACTCTTCACTACCAAAATCATGTATACACATTTACTTTCATTTGCTTACCTTCATTTATTCTGCAGGAATGATTACCAGCTTTCAGAGGAGCAAACTTCTCTTCCAGGACCCCATTACACCAAATTCATGTTTGAAAATGTCATAAAATTCACAGCATGCCCCTTCGTAGATCATACCATTCCTTTAATCAGGTATAAGAGATTAGTGAATGATATGTCTCATGTTCCCTTTATGCCTGTTATCATTATATTAGCATTGCTGAAATTAGGATAAAACTTTTGTCACACTATTATTTAAGACATGTATCATTTTAATCAAGAATATGAAGGCATCACTGCAGCATATCATAAGGTTTGGGATGGTTGGGACGTTTTTATTGAGAAAAAAACTAAAAGTAAGCTAGCAATTATGAAAGACTGTGCAACTAACATTATTAGCTATTGTTAATGCAAATGTGTGCATTGGAACAGTCACTGTTCTGTGTCCTGTATATATTGTTTTCTTTATGATCAATTTGTCCACTTTTAGACATTTAGATGATTAAGAAATTATGTAAAACCAAAATAAGGTACTCAGCTACCTTAATTAATATCTCTAATTTAAGGGTTCCCAATTAATTTTTCCCGTGGATTCCTTTGACATAGTGTATCAACATCTTGGAATCCCCCATCCCCCCAAATTTTTTTTATTTTTTTTTACAATTGCCCTGTTTGTTTTATTTGCCAGTGTGTGTCAAGATGTGTATATCTGTGCTTGTATGTGCCAGTTGTATATCTGACACACAGATACACACACACACACTGACACACAGATGTGTATCTCTGTGTGTGAGTGTGTATCTGTGTGTCAAAGTGTGTGTATCTGTGTTTGTATGTGTCTGTGTATCTAGGTGTGTGTGTCTGTGTATGTGCCAGTGTGTATGAATCTGACATACAGATACACACACTGGCAGATAGTGGCATACAGATACACACACTGACAGATACACACACCTTGACACACAGTGTGTATCTGTGTGTGTATGTATGTATCTATCTGTGTGTCAAGGTGTGTATTTGTGTTTGAATGTGCTAGTGTGTATGAATCTGACACACAGATACACACACTGACACAGATACACACCTTGACACAGTGTGTATCTGTGTGTGTATGTATGTATCTGTGTCAAGGTATGTGTCGGTGTGTGTCAAGGTGTGTATATCTGTATTTGTATGCGCCAGTGTGTGTATCTCTGTGTCAGTGTGTATATGTATCTGACACACAGATATATACACACACTGACACACACCTTTACCACAGATACACTCAGATACACACTGACACACACATCTTGACTCACAAATACACACACACTCAGATACACACAGTGACATACACACACTTGCAGCCACAGATACACACTGACACACTCAGATACACACAAACAGGCACATACAAACACACTGATGCATACTGGCACATACACACTCTTTGACAGACACACATACACTTTCACTGACAAACACACACACTTTGACATACACCCTTACTGACAAACACACACACTCTTTGACAGACACCCATACACTCTCCTTGACAAACACACACTCTTTGACAGACACACATACTCTTTTACAGACACAAAAACACATATACACTCTCATTGACAAGAACAGATGCATTCTTACTGACAAACACATACACGCACATTCACTCTCACTGACAAACACATACAAACTCCCTAACAGACACACATACAATGTATTTATTTTTTTAAACATTTTACTCCACCCAGCCCCCCTACCTTTAGGAGTGCTGACATGGAGTCCCTGGGGTCCAGTGGGGCTGCTGGTATGAAGTCCCTGTGGTCCAGTGGGGCTGGCTGCAGCTTGGTGGTCGGGAGGTCTGGCAGACAGGTGAGCGGTGGTGGCGGGCGGCGAGGGAGCTCCGATCTCCCTGCTCAGCTCCCTCGCGTGCCTCTTAGTGATGCCGGAGTGACATCATATTCCGGCTCCGACATCACTGCTGTGCGCGTGAGGGAGCTGAGCAGGGAGATCACTGCCCACTGCCTCCTCGACCCACGGCCATTTTATTTTCAATTTTTTGGGGCGGAACCCCAATTAGTGTTCCACGGAACACTAGGGTTCCGCGGAACACCAATTGGGAAACGCTGCTCTAATTTATCATTCTGTATTGTCAAAATATGTGTTACTTGAATGTGAAAAATACCAACCACAAATGGCTTTCTTTCTTGAGTTATATCTTAGATGCCTGGTGTATCCTTCAGGAACATATATTATTGTGGGATTCCACATGATATTAAAATATATTCTAAAATCAAAAGATGTCAGTGTCATGGAGATTACGCTTGACAGGTTTGGTACAAGTTGTAGAAAAAGCTGAGACCAGACCAAAAACACACCTGGCATCTGGTGTAGTAAAGGAACACTCCAAGAGTTAAAAACTTAATATCGGCTTGCAGTGTCCCTTTAAGCGTGAAGTCAGGTCACCATTTTTCTACATGTCTTTTAATGTTGACCTGTTGGATACCTTCTTGGATTTGGACACCCTCAGACAGACTGGCAATCTGTACTGCGTCTCTAATCTGTCAACCATAGATAACTTAGCACTTACTCTTAGAAAGTGAAATATGTCACATTCCCAATACTATAAATGTGCAAATTATACACCACACAAGTAAAATTATTTCCAGGAAATGATTTTTATTTCACATACACATAATAATAGCCATCCAATGGGGAAGCACAGGGAAAAGTAGGAAATGGGGCAGGAAAAGTTTGACGCAATCCAGGTACGAGGGCGATTAAAAAACGTATAAAAAAAATAAACTGATAATATTTCAAGCAGGGAAAAATACACTGAGAGGTGGGACAAATAGGAAAGGAGAGCACATGGTAGGGATTGGAAAAAGAGGGATAGGGATCTCTGAACATGAGAAGGCAAGGGACACAGGGATTGTAGATGTTGACAGAATTTGAGACAGGATTAGAGAGAATAAAGTGAGAAAAAAGAACGTATATGGAAAAAAGAATGAGGCAGATGGAAAGGGAAGAAAGATATATATATATATGTCATATGAGTAGAAAGCATGAGAGTAGAGTATAAACAGAGAGCGGATTATGGTAATTTGAGAACGAGGCAATGGGGGAACGCTGAAGGAGGAATTGAAGGGTTGCTATACTGACACAAGCATTCCATTTACACATTCTGTAGAGAGCAGTGGAACATACACAGTGGTAATATGTGTAAAAAGTAGGGGAGAGA